GAATCATATGTATATCCAAATAGAAATTGTGGATATACCGTACAAAATTCATATTATTTTTCTGTTTGTGTTCAAGTACTTTTTACACATGGTGTCACTTTTACGAAATGCATATATTTTAATTAATCTGAATGTTAGCTTTTTAACAAATGCCTGGATGTAGACAACCAAATCTTATTTACCACATTCCCAACGCCCAGTTCTTGATAATTATCAAGACAATTCGAAAATTAGAAAAATGCAATTAATTTTAAACAGACTGACATTGTCAGTTAAATTCAACAAAAACTGTTTAAATGACTTTTGTTGCCTAAATAATGTCTCCAATTTTGTACCACGAGAGTCAAAGATTTACTATTTTTACAGTGTCCGCCATTGTTAGTTTTTGCCGCCATGTGACACCAATCTCACACGGCTCGTGCAAGATAAGCTAAATTTGTCGCAAATTAATTGAATTCGCCTTGACTTATTAATTGTACGGCTCCAAAATGGAGTCAGTCAGTCAGTCAGTTATATGCCATAAAATGGAGTACTGTTGCTATATTTGGGTGGGAGACGCCTAGTCCTCTATTTCTCGTCTTGATAGAGTTCTAAAGCGTCTCGGAGTCTTTGTGGGTGACGAATTATATTCCACCCTCCAACTTCGCCCTCACAGGCAAGGATGTGACGAACCTCTCATTGTTCTATCGCACGTTCCATGGAAAGTACTCGGATGAACTACATTCTTTGGTTCCGCCATTTTGAACCTTCCCAGCTAGGACCCACCATGCCACTTACATTGTAACAAACCACCCAGATTCCCACTGTATACCATCGGCGAGAAGTAAGTTCCACTCGAACAGCTTCTTCTTGCGAACCACTGCTTTGTGGAGAAGACTTCCAAGAAGATGATCCCACGATCAGTTCGACCTTAAGCTGGTCAAATCTAGACAACCGTTATCTTTCACTCCTATACGCACAAATTGCCATCTAAGGTAACCCTCTAGCTCGAGTGGCTCACGGGCTTTGTGCAGGGTAAACCTTACTGTAAACAACAAAAAGACATAACCTCACCTCACTTCAATCCGATGTTACATCTTAGATTTCACCAGCGAACTGATTCAAGCATTGTATGATTCTCTCTAATTTTCACGCTTAGTTTCACTCCAGTTGATCATAAATTAGTATTCAGTTTATCTTTATATCTCTGACGGAGTCTTCCAACATTTCGCTGGGCATCGAGAAGCTGACTGTACGTTAGAATATCTGGAAGTCTACAATCAGGCATTTTTATTATATGCCCTACTCATCTTCTTTGAGGCTGAATCAAGATCAATTCTATGTTTTGCATTCCACACCTAATGCTATATTTCCATGTATAACCGCATATAATATTCACACATCTTATGTTCAATAACCACATATAATACGCAAGCATAATTTGTCCAATATGCTTATGAGGATGTGGCATATGATCCATGACTCTGACAATAACAATAATGTCGTGACCACTGCACAGTAGACAGAGAAGTTTCATTCTCAAGCTCAAACCCCTTTTATTCGAAATGCATGGGTTGCATTAGGAATATAGGTAATTATACAATTTTCTCACATATATAAGAGTGCTCTATTTTAAATTCCTTTTTTAAAATACAAAAACATTTTTAGTTTTCCTATTTCCAGTGCTGGAAATGGGAAAACTAAACATTTTATTTTTTCTATGTATTACATATAAATATATATATATAAAAAAAACGAAAAGAACAACCCAGTGTGTCTGAAGATTTTTATTTTTTAATATATTTATTGTTCAATATATATATATATATATATATATATATATATATATATATATATATGTGTGTGTGTGTGTGTGTGTGTGTGTACGTATACACTAGCGGGTACTGAAAATTTTCGATCGGAGAGAATTTTAAAATGTGACCAAAACTACAAACATCAGATATGTTTGCTTATCATAGATTGCTTTCTTGGTCAGGATGTGAACTTTCCCCAGCCCTTTGTATACACACACACACGCACAAACACACACACACACACACACACACACACACACACATATATATATATATATATATATATATTTGTGGATGACTCTATATATATATATATATATATATATATATATATATATATATATATATATATATATATATATATATATAGCTGTAGGAGTGTAAATAATTCAGAACGAATTGTTTTTTCACCTTGTTCCCGCGAAAAGAGAGAACCTCTACAAAACAAAACAAAAAAACATGTTTGCTAATCAATCTTCCTCGACTGCCATTTTGATTTTTTTCTTAATTCGCCTTCCTCAACCCTCTCCTCTATCAAAGCGCGTTGTTTTCAATGACGCCAACGCCCTCTTCTCGTTTTTTTTTCTTCTCAACCATCAATCAGTGTAATACGACCCACCTCGAATTCATCCTATATTTTTGTCCGTCCTCAATACCGTCAGATAATAACGAGTCAGAGTAACTCAACTCGTATGTAACCCTATTATCTCCAGCTAAAATTCTGTCAGAACTAATGAAAATGCGGCTAGAATGTCAGATTTACTTGTAGAAATTTATTATACAGATGCCGTGTAATAGCTAATGACAACATCTCACAAGCCAATGATGAAACAGAATAAAGTTTAGACGTTAGTTATTCTTTTATGTACCAGGTTATTTCAGGACATGGGCGATTATGGCTCTCCTCAAGTTCCTATCCTAAATGGGATTCTTTAGAAGGAACGTATGAGCAACAAGTAACTTTTAAAGAAAATTGAAATTAAATGGATGTTTCACTTAAAATAAGAAAGAGACATAAATTTCCGGGACATAAATGAAAAAAGGCGGCTTGGCGAATTTAAAACTCACATGGCATATCTAGAGTAAAAAGAACAGAGGGAAAACAGCCAGTATCTTATCTAGTTTATGTAAATACATACATATCTATCTTTGTGATGTTCTTCAAACAAACACTTCTGACCAGTTCTTTCCAACTATTTTCCCAGGAAGGCAGTCCATGTAGGCGAATGAAAACCTCAGCTGATTTGCGGTCATATCAAAACTTGGAAAAGACTATGAGAATTAATCGAGACAGAAAATCCGAAGACGGTTGACTATAAACACTGACAACCTTCCAGCAACTACTGCAACTAAGCTTTGTATTCCTTTCGATTTTTTTTGGTATACCCATGTCTACCATTGTGCTGGATACGATTGTATACCATGTCATTGTATACCATTGTGCTGGATGTTAAGCTCTCGATGAAGGACGGATTTTCAATTTGGGGATCAGGATGATCCCGAAAAGGTACAATATGCCTGTGTAGAGCAAGACAGACAGAATTTACCATTTATTTATTTAGAAAATAGATTATTAAAAAAACGTTAATATGGGTCGGGTGCTTCTAAAGCACGTAATGTATATAATGTTAATAAATATATATTATATGTGTTCCAAAGATTGTCAGATGGTAGTGTGTACAAGTTCCTACTATCTACATAATGCTTATGTGGCATGCATCTCGGATAGAATCTCAGATAGAATCTGGCAACTTAGTTTAGCTGCAAGCCGGAGAATAAGCGACAGTGTTAATCTGTTGACTGATAACCAACTGATTCGGGTAGATTGGATACCTAGAGTCCAAGATGAATGAAAATCTTAATTTTAAACCTCCACTGAGTTGCGGTCATATCCAAACATGGAAAAATCAATGGAAATAAATCGACACAGAAAACCTGAAGTGGAGCCTCGAAAGCGGTTGGCTGTCGGCAATTTAAATTCTGTGAGGTTGGATGGGATATATCAATATCAATATTAGTTGTTAGATCCAGGGATGGTAGTGGGACAAGTTCCTACTGTCTATATAATGCTTATGTGGCATGCATCTCAGATAGACTCTGGCAACTTAGTCTAGCTGCAAGCCGGAGAGTAAGCGACGGTAGTAAGCTTGCGACTCATAACCAACTGATTCAGGTTGGCTGGATATCTAGAGTCCAGGGTAGCAGTCCATCTAGGAGGAATGAAACTCCTATTTTAAACCTCCACTGCCTTGCGGTCATCTCCAAACGAAACCCGTAATGGAGCCCAAAAGCCAAACCGGCCCAAAATATAATGCCCTGTATTCCTTTAGATCTTGTCGGTACGGCCAAGAGGGGGAGGGAGGTTATTTAGTCTAAGCAGCGGACGACCTCCATATACTATCGCCAGAGTAAGAGAAGGAAGGAGAAGGAAAACGCTGAATTCAAACCACCTGCTGCCTTGTAGGTCTTTGCTCTTTAACTTCTGAGAGATTTGCGGGGTAACCTCAACAACAATTGTCAGAGCCGGGGATGATAGTGTGTACAAGTTCCTACTGTCAATATAATGCTTATGTGGCATGCATCTCAGATAGGCTCTGGTAACTTAATCTAGCTGCAAGCCGGAGAATAAGCGACGGTGGTAAGATGGCGATTCATAACCAGCTGATTCAGATAGGCTGTATATCTAGAGTCCAGGGTGGCAGTCCATCTAGGAGAATAAAAATTCTATTTTAAACCTCCGCTGACTTGTGGTCATATCCAAACATAGAAAAGACTATGGAAGCAAATGGAGACAGAAAATCCGGAGTGGAGCTAGCTATCAACAACCTTCCAGCAACTACTGCCACTAAGCCTTGTATTGTTTTGGATTTTGTCAGTACGACCGAGAGAGTGAACTTGTGGTCTGGATAGCGCACGACCTCAATATGCCATCATCCAGGCGTGAAACCTGGAGAAGTAACCCCAATTTGACTATCCGGTTAGAGTACAACATGGAAGACAGCATTTTACAGGTTATAAGTCAATACTCAACTGGCGTAGAGTTGGACGCCACGTGTTTTCGTCGACGGTGAGTATCACTGTATTCGGGCAGCACTCAGACATTAGAGTGTTGACCCGCCAGAAGCTGCCTACTTTAGTGGGTGCCTAAAGCTTATAGCTACTGGCTTAACAAACAGATCGATAACCATACACGAAACGAACAGCAAAATGGGGAAAAGAACGAAGTGTCCAGCTCTTCGTATCGCAAGCTGGAATGTGCGATCCATGCGCACAGGGGTGGGACGTTCCGGCTCAGCCCATTTACTGCACAGGGGTGGGACGTTCCGGCTCAGCCCATTTGGCGTGGCCGATTCGGCGTGGCTGATACGACATTGGAATTTTTCGACAGAGGGACGATTAGGCGTCAGATTACGACTTCGTCGTTATAGTCAAATTTGCTCTCTCTCTCTCTCTCTCTCTCTCTCTCTCTCGTTTAGTAGTCTAATTAGTACTCCATCGTTATACTCAAATTTGCTCTCTCTCACTCTATCACTCTTTCTCCGTCTCTCTCTCTTTATCTCTCTTGTTTATTAGTTTAATTAGTACTTCATCTTTATACTCAAATTTGCTCTCTCTCTCTCCCTCTCCCTCTCTCGGTCATTAGTCTAATAAGTACTTACTCGTTCAGAGTCTGTCTATATTTCTGAGATGAGGTATTATGTACAGTATTTACATTAGTCGGACTATTGTCCTCATCTTTGTCGCCATATTTGTCACAACGTTTCGGCCGTTGTACGCTCCAGCCTTCTTCAGGTGGTAGGAATTTCGAACTGAACCCTTTATTTCGAACAGTCTACCCCAGTGATCGAAATAAAGGGTTCAGTTCGAAATTCCTACCACCTGAAGAAGGCCGGGCGTACAACGGCCGAAACGTTAGACAAATATGGCGACAAAAGATGAGGACAATGCTCGACTTTCTAAATACTGCTCTCTTCGTTATCTCAAACTCTCTCTCTCTCTCTCTCTCTCTCTCTCTCTCGTTTAGTAGTCTAATTAGTACTTCGTCGTTATACTGAAATTTGCTCGAATAGTCCAATTTAAGAAAAAGAGGCATTTTTATATTTACGAATAGGAGTAGCTGGAGGCATTTAAAAAAGAAACAAAATAAAATAAAAAGAGTAGTTGGAGATATTCCCTCGGTGAGAAGTAAGGTTCCACTCAAACAGCTTCTTACCACGAACCACTGCCCTGTGGAACCGACTCCCAAGAGGATGTTTCCCCGATCAATGCAATCTTAACCTGTTGAAGTCTAGAGTTAACCGTTATCTTCCTCTCGTATCGATATAAACTACCAATTAACGTAACCTTTTACTTCGATTGGCCTTAGGGTGAGCCTTACTGTAAAAAAAAAAAAAAGAAAAAAAAAGATGGATGTTAATTTTTTGAGAATCTGTTTTCACAGTTGCTGGTGAGACTCAAGTCGATAAAAAGTATGTATTAAAATCGCTGACACATTTTTGGGAATGGGACGTTTCGGCGTAGCCCATTTGGTGTTGCTGATTCGGCGTGGCCGATTCGACATCGGAATTTTTCGGCAGAAAGACGATTAGGCGTCAGATTACTACTTTGTCGTTATAGTCAAATTTGATCTTGCTCTCTCTCTCTCTCTATCGATGTTTCTCTCTCTATCGATCTCTCTCTATCGATCTCTCTCTATCGATCTCTGTCTCCCTCTCTCTCTCTCGTTTAGTAGTCAAATTAGTACTTCGTCATTCAGAAAAAGTATAGTTGGAGGCATTTTTAAATTTAAGAAAGAGAGTAGGTGGAGGTATTTTTATATTATAATTCATAAAATATTTCTAATTTAATTTTTTAATTTACATTTATTCCATTAGTGTTTTGATAGTATCCTTAATTCCCTAAATGAATAAAAAGCCATATTGAAAGTTGGGTGTTTTCAATGCTTTTATCCTTTTTTTGTGGTGGGGGGTGGCTCCGGCCAAAGACAGTGACGTCGAAATATTCTGATGTCTAAACGCCTGTGCCGAATATTCCAATTATTTTTCTGGCGCCGAATCAGCCACGCCAAATGGGTTACGCCGAAACGTACTAAACTCGTATTTAATGACCTTCAGAAGATGGATGCCCCTCGCAAGGCTGCAACGATCTATCGTGATCTAGACTGGACGTGGCAGCTCTATAGGAAACACAGCTTCCAGACTGTGGATCTCTAAAAGAGGAACGTTTCACCTTCTGGCAAGGGTGAGGAGTCGATGAATGCAGGGAACATGGATTTGGATTTGCTGGCACGAACATCCTGATCCGTATGATTGTACCTCTAGCAAGAGGCATAGACAATTGTCACCCATCGCTTCTCTGTATATGGAACCTTTGTAAACATTTGTATGCCAATACTCCAAGCTATGCACGAAGTCAAAAACCAATTCTGTTTAACTTGACAGCTTTGTCAAGCGTATCCAATCATATGAACATATTTACCATCTAGGTGACTTCAATGCGTGGGTGGGCTTTGATCAAGTGTAATGGCCAAACGTGCTAGGTCACCATGGTATCGGAAATGGTCAAAGATTTAGAATTCTGCTGTTATAAACTGTGTATGAAAAAACACTTATTTTCAGAACAAGTCTTTCCTCAAAGCATCCTGGAGACATCCAAGTTCAAATCATTGGCTCCAGGCGCAGCTCTCTACAGAACCTGAGCTTACACTGCGAAGACTGCGACACTGACCACCCCGTAATCTCTTTAAAGGGAAAATTAAAAACCTGAGAATCTCTATTATGCAAAGAAGAAATACCAACTAAGAATTAACTCCAGCAAATCTGCCTATTCAGAAATTCTTAGAGGGGCTTATTGAAACCCTTCCCAGCGATTTATCGTAGTATGTGAAAGACAGATGGATTTCTCTTCGGAACACCATCTACAATACTGCAATCTTGACTTAAGGAAAGAAGATACACAAGAACAAAGACCAGTTTGAAGCTAACGCCTCCATATTAGAGCTGGCCATCAACGCTAAGCGTGATTCTAGCCAGCAATATCTACAGGCTCTGAACACTGAACGTAGCAAAGCCTATCAAACTGCACGTCGCTAAGTAAATGACTGGCTCCATCTGTCAGGTAGCATCCAAAAGGCTTCAGTCAATAGCAACATCCGGAACATGAAAGCATTAAACAAGCAACTGGCAAACAAACAAAGAAATCTACGTCCCTGAAATCAAATATAGGGAAGTTAATTACAGAAAAACAATAATAAATGGGACGGTGGGTAGAGCCTTACCTCGAATTTTACTCAAGAGAAAATTCAGTCATTAAAAAAACGTTTGATGTAATTGAGCGTCTGCCATTACCGGAAGTGCTGAACTCTTAGCCTACAAAGGAGGAGGAGGTTAGCAAAGCTATTGATGCTTTACCATGTGGTAAAGGACCGAATGAAAACAGCATATCGCCAGAGATCATCAAATGTGGTAAGCCAGGTTTACTTAAACCACAATATAGTCTCCTGAGCTTCTGCTGGAGAGAAGGCAAGGTTCGTCATGGCATGTGCAATTTCAAGATAATTACCCTTTATAAAAAGAAGGACAATTGAAGTGACGGCAATAACTACCTAGGTATCTGTTTTTTAAGCATTTTTGGAAAACTCTAATGAGGGAATCTGGACATATGTGATCAGCAAGGAGTTGGAGTCGCGTATATGTGATCATATGTGATCAATGGAGTCGCGTATATGTGAGAATATGTGATCAATGAGTCGCGTATATGTGAGAATATGTGATCAATGAGTCGCGTATATGTGAGAATATGTGATCAATGAGTCGCGTATATGTGAGAATATGTGATCAAGGGAGTCGCGTATATGTGATCATATGTGATCAATGAGTCGCGTATATGTGAGAATATGTGATCAATGGAGTCGCGTATATGTGAGAATATGTGATCAATGAGTCGCGTATATGTGAGAATATGTGATCAATGGTCGATCGTATATGTGAGAATGAGAATATGTGATCAATGGAGTCGCGTATATGTGAGAATATGTGATCAATGGAGTCGCGTATATGTGAGAATATGTGGTCAATGAGTCGCTTATATGTGATCATATGTGATCAATGGAGAGTCGCGTATATGTGTGCATATGTGATCAATGAAACCCACTCAGAGCTAAAAGATCCACAGTTGATAAGACCTCTCTACGTCAGCTCCAAGAGAAATGTTGTGAACAACATCGCCTTCGTCGATCTCTCAAAGGAGTTCGATTTTGTTAGAAGGAAATGTTTCATGTACTGATGAGATGTAGCTGTACACCACATCATCAATCCTTTCACGAGAACATGCAGGGTGGAATCATCTGTGAGGGAGAAACTTCAATACCCTTCATTATTCAGAATGGCATAAAACAGGGATGCGCTTTAGCACCAACTTTTTAGCACCTTCTTTTCCATGATATTGAGCTTTGCATTTCGACAAGCAGAAATAAGTGTATACTTACATACAAGAAGCAACAGCAAATTATTATGTGGACAAAGACCAAGGTGAGTCCAGTATTCATCAGAGATATGACGTTTGCTGATGACGCTAATCTGACAAAGACGCACACCAAACACGATCTTCAAAAACTGTTTAGTCAGTTCAACCATGACTGTAAGGAATTTGAGCTGACTATTAACATTAAAACAAACGTCATGGGTCAAGATATTTATAATCTATGACTTGTTTTATATAGGAATGAATTATTGCTGCCGATATTGGAATAAGGACACAGATCACGATTTCTATTCTATCCTCTATTACTACACGGATCACCATTTCTATTTTATCCTCTATTACTTTACGGATCACCTTTTCTATTCTATCCTCTATTAATATACGGATCACCATTTCTATTCTATCTTCTATTACTATATGGATCACCATTTCTATTCTATCCTCAATTTCTATTCGGATCAAAATTTTTATTCTATCCTCTATTACTATTCAGATCACCATTTCTATTCTATCCTCTATTAATATACGGATCACCATTTCTATTCCATCCTCTCGTACTATACGGATCACCATTTCAAATCTATCCTCAATTATTATAAGGATCACCATTTCGATTCTATCCACTATTTCTATTAGGATCATCATTTCAATTCTATACTCTATTACTTTACGGATCACCATTTCTATTCTATCCTAAATTATTACAAGGATCACCATTTCTATTCTATCCTCTATTTCTATTCGGATCAAAATTTCTATTCTATCCTCTATTACTATACGGATCACTATTTCTGTTCTATCCTCTATTACTATACGGATCACCATTTCTATTTTATCCTCCATTACTTTACGGATCACAATTTCTATTCTATCCTCTATTACTTTACGGATCACCTTTTGTATTCTATCCTCTATTACTATTCGGATCACCATTTCTATTCTATCCTCTATTACTGTACGGATCACCATTTCTGTTCTATCCTCTATTACTATACGGATCACCATTTCTATTCTATCCTCTATTAGTATTTTCGGTCGCGTTCTTTTCTCTATACGGATTACTATTCGGTTGTTATTACTGAGCAAGTACTATTAGTGCCAGTGTTATTCGAAGTCGTCTGGCACCAGCATTGTTCAACAAAGTTTCTATAGTTGTATCTGTGATTACAAAGTCTCTACTACAATGAGCATTACGAAAGTGATGCCGATTCGTTGATATTACAAAAGTGGCAACCAGTGTTCGCTGACTTCAGAAAAACTTGGCGCTTGAAGTCACAGATCATTTCACGTATTTGGGGCTCTACCAAATTAAGCAAGGGTTTATAGAACAGCAAGTCTGCGGACTTTGCGCACCTGTTAAGCGTATTCCAAACAGGTGTCCTTTGTAATCTGATTTACGTCAGTGAAACCTGAACAACAATACCTCAGGTAGAAAAGACTCCTAAAAAGCTTTTGTAGACTATGACGAATCCTTGGGATCCGATAGAGAGACAAAGTTTCCAACACTGTTGTGCTGGAGCAAGCAAACTCCTTTGACAACGTCGGCTTCGATGACTGGGTTGCGTATATCGTAAGAATGACGGTCGTATAGCAAAAGACATCTTGTATCATGAGCTGATTACGGGACACCGTCCGGTAGGATACATCACACTACGTTTCAAGGAAGTTTGCAAGGGGGTTCTGAAACGTCTCCGAAAGCTGGGAACAGCTAGCAGACGATCGCAAATGTTGGTACCGTGTTGTTCGTGGAGGAGACACGAAGGCCGGGCAAAGGCGAAACGAACTGTTGTAGATAAGAAGAGAATGAATGAAGCAGAGACAGCAATGTCAGACCTCCTTTCCACGTTCCTTCTTCATCTGTCCCACCATGCAAGGATTGGTCTATTAAGCCATCTCCAAAAGTTAATCGCAAAAGGACAAGGTGTGACAAAAACAAGAGCGCTACCATTATCTCGCGATAAATGGATACTTACTATATCATGACGAATATCATAGCCGAGGTGATCTAAAACACTTCGGATCTAATGACATTTTTCCCCTGGGTGGGGTAACTCAGTTTTGAAGCCTGTCGCATATTCTCTTTAATAAGATTTCTCGAATATTCCGGCCGGTAGACGAAAATAAATAAATATACTCTTTAATAAATAAACGGAGCGTCCACTTAAATATGCATTTCAGTGCATACAAATGCACCCATATAAATAATGCGTATATATGTATGCTCGAACGTATGGATGTGTATCTGAGCCTAATCTCAGATTATTTATATGGGTGTTTTTGTACGAATTAAAATGCATACACCTGTATGAATGTGTGTCTATGTATGTGTGAGTGTATTCCCAAACACAGAAGAAAATTCTCCCTCCGCTACAAACAAATAATCAAATAAGATTAAATAGCTTCCACTTTTGAAAAAATAAACCAGTTTGACTGATGATCACAAAAGCGTGAAACCTGGGGTTACGCACAAAAGTCCATATAACTGAATATGTTAACTCTATCACAAATATTGAGCACTTTCCACTTTCCGCGTATATATATATATATATATATATATATATATATATATATGGAGAGAGAGAGAGAGAGAGAGAGAGAGAGAGAGAGAGAGAGAGAGAGAGACTCAGAAGGATATGTTCCAACAATGAAGAATTAAATAAACACATTGAAAATCTGGAGCATCAATTTACAACACGTGGCTATAAACAACACCTAATCAGGGAACAGATAAATAAAGCAATTTCCACGCCTAGAGAAGACACCCTAATGTACAAGATTAAAAATAAATCTAGCCGCATTCCTCTAGTAACCACTTTCAACATCACTCTGCCTCCACTATCCCAAATAATCAAAAGTCGCTGAGAAATATTACACCTCAAACCAGACCTAAAAAACTGTTTAAGGAACCCGGCCTTCTAGCATATCGTAGACCTCAGAACCTAAAAGAAATCATAGGTAGTAACCACATTTCAGGGGACAAGTTAATCCGTAATAAACTTACAACAACAGGATTTTCCCAACCATGTAACAACAAAAGAAGTTTATGCTGCAACCACATTAAACACACGCATTCATTCACTATCTCAGTCACTAAATCTACTTTCAAAATCTACCACGATTCTAACTGTAGAAGTCATAACATAAATTACCTCCTAGAATGCACGCTATGCCAGAAACAATATGTAGGAAAATCTGAATGGCCCTTTCACTACAGAATTAATAATTATCGCAATCGAATTAAGTCGACTCCCCATGAAAAAGTATTACCTGTAGAACAACATTTCCTCCTAGAAAAACACGATTTTAAAACCCATGCCAAATTCGCTATAATTGAGAGAATAGAAAAGTTCAGAGCAGATAACATTAGAAAGATTTTAGAATTCAATGAAAATAAGTGGATCCCGCGTTTAAAAACACACTATCCAGCCGGGCTAAACCATAAATTTAACAATATAGATAGTATTAATATATAACCCTACAAATCAAAACCTACCCATATTTCTCACCCACACAAGACAGACATGCTTACGGAGGTGTTAAGGCCTCACACTTATACACACACCCACACGAACATACACACATCATACTTACTCACTCCCTAATGAGCCAAATGATAACACACACCGACAGCAATATACACGCTTACACATATCATACTCACTCACTCCCCAAGAACCTAAAAACACACACACACTTAACAGAGACACATTCCCTTTCTAGGAACCAATAAAACTGTCAAACTGACCAGGGAAATTCAGAGCAGCGTGGATCCATTCAGCTCTTATCTCAAACAACAACTTAAAAGAGACTTTTTGACCAACACAAGAAATGTTAAAAGATTCATGTTAAAAAGATAAAAAAAACAAAAAAAAAAAAACAAATAAAAACTACAGACAAAAGTTAATTTTCTCCATCAAGACACAAGGTAGTTCACTGCTACCAGCAGGCAGAAATATTTCTTCTCTGATGATGGCCATGTTGGCCGAAACTAGTCGAGGAATCTAAATGAAATAATAATAATAATAAAAACGAAAGAATATTAATCTACAACCCAATGTGTCTGAAGATTTTAATTTTTTAATATTTTTTATTGTTCAATATATATATATATATATATATATATATGTGTGTGTGTGTGTGTGTGTGTGTATTGACTGCTTTACCGATACGTATTGTATTCATATGCCCGAATATTTTTTACGAGAAGCAGTGGGTAAGAGGAGCCTTTCACGGCCAAGTTGACTTCAATGTTCATTTTTATATTTATATTTACATACGCTCTATCTCTGATATTGATCACTTTATCCCATAAATATAGCACACCTTAAAACTATATTTCTTCATATATATATATATATATATATATATATATATATATATATATATATATATATATATCTGCGTGTGTGTGTGTGTCTGTATTGACTGCTTTATTGATACGTATTGTACTCATAAGCCTGAATATTTTTACAAGAAGCCGTGGCGATGAAGGGCCTTTCTTTATTTAACCCTTTAAAGTGATCAATCTTCACAAAGGCGTATCATTATTTCCTCTAAAAGCAAACTTCATCCTTCAGGCTTCACGGCCAAAGCGCATTCCAAGAAATCCTGCAGTTGATTACGTGTTTGGAAAATCCAAATTCATTCCGTCTCTCCTTCTTCGAGTTATTCTTGGAACCGGCAGAAACGTAAGATGCCTCTTTTGGAGTTGTTGCAGTTTTTGCTCTTCCCGACCGGTTTTTAGCTTCGCGTTCGTCTTCTTTTTCGATTTAATAGCGCCGTACGCTTCGATTCCAACATTCCAACAAAAAGATGAGTCTCTCATCAACGATTCGTGCCAATCACAGAGTAGCCATGATAACGCCAGAACGAGGCTGTGATTATCAGATCGGTTGCCTCTTGAGAACAGGCTGCAATCAAACGTTCCTACAGATGTACACGCCCTCATATCTTCCCCACTTTCCCGCTTCACGTTACACGTTTCACCGCCCTTGCTTAGTATTACAGCCGTCGCTACGTCTTTCTTCCTCTCGAAGCACTTCGGCTCCTTCTGATGGACCTGGATTGACGTGTGCAATCAAGTAGAACCAGTGATAATCAAAAGGCAGAATATTGGAAATAAAATGTCTTATATATATATATATATATATATATATATATATATATGGTAGGGGACAGAGGCAACAGCTTGTATATATATATATATATATATATATATATATATATATATATATATATATATATATATATATATATATACGCACACACACATACATCCCCACACATATATATATATATATATATATATATATATAAAAAGAGAGATAACAGCTAATATATATGTATGTGCGCGAGCGTGTGTATCTGTACCTACATATATATATATATATATATATATATATATATATATATATATATATATATGTGTGTATATATATATATATATAAAGGAGGAGATTATAGTAGTTCCAACGAGAGAAAAGTGTGTATATTAAAAAGAAGAGAGAAACCGCAAACGTTTTTGACTGTAATATGGATTTAAAAATAAATATTGTTTTATTTTCCATAATTTGTTTAACGTGTTTCCGGTCTCGCGACCTTCATCAGGCAAAGGGTGGACATTTCCACATATTATTAAAAATTATTAACTTTTTTCTTTATGTTTTTCGATGTTAAATATTCTCAATATGAGACATTCTCTTTTTTGTGTGTTAGTGACACAAATGTCTTTCTTGAACTGGCAGTGAAAAGTTCTGCGTGAAGGGTTACAAAACAATTAAGATTGGTCCGAAAAATGGTGAAAGAGTTAACCTATCTTTCTTATCTTTTAATGACCCCTCTCTATTCTTAGATCTATTTCCATTTTCTTGTGTTTTTGTCAGCATATATAAGTGTACATTGAAGTCAACATCCAGAGTTGAAAGTCTGTTTCATGCTAGACGCAATTGTCAGGCCATATGCATTGTATTTTTGTTCGCTTGAACTTTTATATACATAGGTCAGTGATGCATTGTGGGTAGTCTCTGGGTTTGGATCAAAGTGTTCACTTTCGTATTTACATACGCTCTATCACTCCTATTGGACAGTTTTAACTATAAATGCAGCACACCTTAAAACTATATTTTATTACATACATACATACATACATACATATATATATATATATATATATATATATATATATATATGTAAAAGGAAGAGGTTATAGTAGTTCCAACGACAGAAAAGTGTGTATATTAAAAAGAAGAGAGAAACCGCTAACGTTTTTGACAGTAATATGGATTTTTTTATAAAAAAAAACATTATGCTTTATTTTCCATCATTTTACTACACGTGTTTCTGGTCTCGCGACCGTCATCAGGCAAAGGGTGGAGATTTTTACACATTATTAAAAATAATTAATTTTTTTCTTATATTTTTCGATGTTAAATATTCTCGATATGAGACATTCTATTTTTGTGTTAGTTACCCAAATGTCTTTGCACACACACACACACACACACACACACACGCATATATATATATATATATATATATATATATATATATATATATATATATATATATAACTGAAATGACGGCTAATATATATATATAAATATGTTTATAAAAAGATTTCTCATTATATATATGTACTTTTTATATCTAAATTTTCTCCTACATATATATATATATGTGTGTATGTGTGTGACAGATTGCGTGTGTGATTGTGTGTGTATATGTTTTTGTGTAAAATTAATATATAAATGAAAATCTGTCTATATTTCTGAGATGAGGTATTATGTACATCATTACATTATTCGGACTCTTGTCCTCATCTTTGTTTTTTTTTTAAAGCATACAATGATAACAGCAAAAATTGCAATATGAGCACTGGTAAAAAATGGATGCTGAAGACATTATAATTCCCAGAAATTCAAACAATGACACATGGCAGAGTGGATAAAGGCATTAGTTAGATCCGATGACAGGACCCCAAGTGTGTGAGTTCAATACCCGGTTAAGGCACTGGAGAACTTGGAGAGGGGAATTAACGGATAGCTGACATACATTAAAACATCTAGAACAGTCTCCAGTGAGCGAAATAAAGGGTTCAGTCCTACATTCCACGGCCGAAATATGGCGACAAAGATGAGTCTGAATAATGTAAATAGTGTAAATAATACCTCATCTCAGAAATATATACAGATACTGCAAGGCTGAAACGTTGTAATAAATATATATATATATATATGTATATATATATATATGTGTGTGTGTGTGTGTGTGTATTGAGACATGTTTCATTGAATAATTTAGATAAGTTTTCAATAGGATCCTTTCATAACCACGGACAAGCATTTTGGCAACATTATTAAAATAAGAGTAAAAATTACTGTGTTGATACATATTATTTATTCCGAGTACGTTCGAAATTACCACGTCATCATCATCAGGATTTTTTTTTCAAGACAAATGAAAGTGCTCATCATTTTCAAAGACAAAATTGCTGTGTTCATTTGAAAATTAGTTTTTTTTACTTATCAAGTGAAAAAACTGAGACGAGTCCTGTGCAATTAGCTTGAGTAACGCTCCAGGGGAGGTAACTAAGTTATGAGGTTGTCGAAGATTTTATTTTAAAAAAAGTATTAAAACTATTTGTATAAACCTCATATATTGAGTTAAAAGTGAAGATAAAATCATCCTTGATAATAATAAGGTTTGGTTCAAATTTTTCCAATATAGATAGCTTAGAGAAATTTTAGTCTTTGTTTATTATATATATATATATATATATGTGGGTGTACACATTTCATTAAAAATGACTAACAGCGGTTAATTTTTTAATTGAATTTATCTTTTGTTCTCATAATTTTCTTTTCACGATATAAATTATATCGAAATTGTGCAAATGTATTGTATGCCCGAGTATTTCTTATCAAGATTCGCTTTGAGCAGATATGGACGTTCGGGGGAAATCATGGGAAATTTGTAGTTTAAAAGCAGTAAATCGACCTTGCTAACCAGACGCGACCTCCGGAGCTAAACTGGTATATGTATAGGTAAATGTTGTTAATACCGTTTACTATAAAGAAGGTATTTACTTAAATACCAGTGTCTATATAAATAACGTATACCAATATATATATATATATATATATATATATATGTGTGTGTGTGTGTATATATAAATAAAAAGAAAGAACAGTAAGATATATAATCCAGTGTTCTTAGAGATATTTTTATTTTTACAAAATAGTGCTCAATGTAAATTTACAGAGCATTAATATTATAAATTAATTGATTTAAAATATGGCTTTTTCCGCTACACAGTTCTAACCATGTTTCAAAAATGGAAGCTAAATGCCCCGAATTTAATTTTGTAATTAAATTAAAGACATTAGTTCCATTTTATTTTATCTTCAACATCATCACTTGATAAGACACCGAGTGTGTTGAAACAAAATGGCTATTTTTGTAGTGATTTTATAACATACTTATTTCATAATTGCTTTTTATAAATAGTATATATATATATATATATATATATATATATATATATATATATATATGAGTTCCACACTGATTGCTGAAAACATTTTCAAAGGTAGAAAACTAATGAATTTTTTTTTTTTTTTTGCTAAAGTAATATAAAAAGATTATTAATGAAAATGACAAATTACTATCTTCATGGAGAACCAAATTGCCAAAGCGGGAAAGGAAACTGTCTGAGATAAGAAATTGTAACTATTTACACTATTTACATTGTTCAGACTGTTGTCCTCATCTTTATTGCCATATTCACAGTCTATATTTCTGAGATGAGGTATTGTAATTATTTACACTATTGACTTTGTTCAGACTGTTGTCCTCATCTTTATTGCCATATTCACAGTCTATATTTCTGAGATGAGGTATTCTAACTATTTACACTATTTACATTGTTCAGACTGTTGTCCTCATCTTTATTGCCATATTCACAGTCTATATTACTGAGATGAGGTATTCTAACTATTTACACTATTTACATTGTTCAGACTGTTGTCCTCATCTTTATTGCCATATTCACAGTCTATATTTCTGAGATGAGGTATTGTAACTATTTACACTATTTATATTGTTCAAACTGTTGTCCCCGTCTTTAATGTCACATTCGCAACGTTTCGGCGGTTTTACGCTCCGGCCTTCTTCAGGTAATATTTATTGGGACTCTGAATCGAACCCTTTATTTCGTCCGCGTGGGTAGATTGTTTGAATTCCACGTGCCATGCCTTTTTTTAAATTTTTCAGTTTTAGTTAATTCGCTTTGATAACTCTTCATGTTTTTTATTCTCTCTACTGATGGCAGTGATCGAACATACAAATCTTTAACTCAAGTCAGTTTTTAGATTAATTAACTAATACTTTCATCCAGTGTGACCTTGGTTGATTGATCAAAAAAGTGAAACGTGAATTATTTTTTACACTGTAAAACCTATCCAGGTGCTGGGAGAAGGAGCACCCACCAGTCTGGAAACTCAGAAAAAATTACGAAAAATAAAGAAAATCAAAACAGCATACAAAAAAAAAAACTGCAATACGACAGACACTAGTATTACTCAGATTGCTGACAGTGTTGAAAGCAAATACGATGGGACTGGAAATTTAAAATGTAACACCTTAATCCCAAGGAGGTGAGATAAGAACAAAAAGAAATAAATAGTGAGTGATTAAATTCTTGAGATGATGAAAAAGCGACAGGACACAAGTAATAATAAGAAATATAGAACATTAGACAAAAGCATTAAAAAAGAAAGCAGGCAAACCAAAAAGGAGTGGGTCAACGAAATTTGTGCATAGATAGAAATAACGAACATTAGAGATATAGCAATTATTTAATTCATTATGCCTCTTAATTCTTTGAGGAACAAAAGGCCGCAACAACACCTCTCCAACGGACACAGTCCCGGGCGATCGTCTTTAGCTTGGCCTATGTCGCGCTGGCTGCCTTCCCGGGGGATTTTTACCAGCACGCGTCATGTGATCCCCTTTGGAGGACCCTTCCTCGGCCATGTCGTTGTTTGAAGATATTGTTGAGGTTTCTGTAATAAGTAAGTTAGCCTATT